AATCACGTGAACAGTTGTGGGCAAGAAGTGGCTGTAAATGGCGGTCAGGAGTGGGTGACCGTCGCTGTCGTCAGCGGTGGTACCGTTCGGGTCACTGGAGTGCAGACACAGCAATAGATCCGCCACTTTCGCCGAATCCAACGCCGAATATAAGTCGTGGCCATCGATGCAAATGAACTCAAATCTGGTCTTAAACTTCGGGAAACTTATGTGAAAATTGCGATCATTTTTGTCGCCGCTTTGGACACTATTGTGGTCGCAATCGCGGATCAATTGCATCAACGCTTCAACAGACTGACGGCTACTGTCATTGTCATCGGCGGTGGTATTCATGTAAAGAATGGCCACAAGAATAGGCGCCGGAAGGCATCGATCGCCGGACTCGTTGTAAACGACGCCCCGTTTGGCGGACATTATGTCTTCGCGACGATTCCTCCGGATTTGGTTCATCTGATTGCGGCGTTCGTGGCGTTTGAGTGACTCTTTGGACCGTTTGGTGATACTCTTGGCCGACGTCTCCGACTCTTGGCGTCCCTTATTAGCGGAACCGATGGACCGATTGGTGCGATGTCTGCCAAACTTGTGTCGCTTATTGTCCTGTTTTAGTGGACCCGATCGGTGAGCCTCTTGAGCTGCTGCCGAGGATTTCATTTTATGAGTGTATTTGTGGACACAATAAGACTTTTAAAGATATCAACGATTAGTGACTGAAAAACATGTGATTTTGTGAACACATGTAAAGGATATTTATTGAGTATTAGTTGCCATAAAAGGTACCAAATATTCGATAGTTATTGTGTGTATTTTCCATGTTTTTAAGTGATAGTTTTGGAACCTTTTGTTACTAATTGACAATATGTGACATCTATTGACAACATTAGACTTTTAATTAAATAAGTTTTTTAATTGATTTTATATTAATTTAAATGATTTTTAATTGATTTTATAATTGATTTTATAATGAATTTAAATGCGGTTTCGTTTATAAATAATATATTTTATTATAAAAACATTTATTAAATTTTTTGACACATTAATGGGTATAATAAGCTGACAGTAAAAGTGTTAAAACTATTCACAAAATAATAATTAAATTAAAAACAATAAAAATCTCAACAAATGGTAAAAACTTAAGAACTTGTGGCCACTAATTGTCTGGAACCAGGGGTTCGGGTGGCATATGCCTACGAAAACAACTTTCCCTTCAATAACTTGCTATCCTTTACATCCCTTTCCTTCTCCAACACATCCAAAGCGGCCAACTCTTTGCGGACAGTCTTCTCAAGACTGGGCTCTAACTCGAGAACCCTATGATAATCGCGACGACTGTCCACCAAATTCCATACCTTTCCCTCAGCCCTGGCCTTCCTGTACAGGGCTTTCGAGTTATTGGGATCAATGGCGAGCACCTGACCCGCGAAGTCAATCACCGGATAGTAGTCTTCAGTGAGTAGTCGGCACTGACACAGGTTTGACAGAAGCGGCACTTTTAACAGTTCCAAGCGGTGATAGTCTTCGTCGCCCGGCTTTTCCCTCAGCAGTAATTGTTCGACAATAGCGACGGCTTTGCTGTAGAGCTGGTCGGCCTCCCGGTGCTGACCGCCAGAGTAGAGACGGTTCCCTTC